GTGAAAATACTTCAGAAACGTGAACAAATAGGCTTTAACAAGGCTTTAATAAGCTAAATAATAGAGGTACATGAGAAAACGTGTTCATAATGAACGAAAATAAATAAATTGAATTGTAACCATGCCAGTCTCAAACCCTGGTCTCCCACTCTCTGGTCCAACACTCTACCCATTGCCCGGTTGGAGGCTTGTTGTGAAATGAGCTGCGCATTGCACAACAACACAGTGACGGCTTTTTATACTGAGGAGGAGGGGGTTGCTAGATAAGGGGCTGAACGCAGGTTCCTGTGGGTTGTTGTACGGCTTGTGACATCACAAAATGACAGAAGTATAAAACTTGTCATTAATATACATTAAAATACATTTACTTGCAGTAAATATGCCCCTGGGTGCATTTTTTTGGTCCTAGGACTTTTTTTTAAGAAGTACATACCCAAAGTTGAGTAAAAAAAAACTTTAAAAAGTGAATTTTGCACAATAGGTCCCCTTTAAAGTTTTTTAAATCTCAGAGCCTGAGGACCAAAGCTTGGTCGACAAAAGAATCCGGGAATGTTCTGGACTGGCTTTTTCAGCCATCAGATTTAAATCCAATTGAAAATCTTTGGTGAGATTAAAAGAAGGCTGTTGCATCAAGGAAACCWTCAAGCCATGACCCAGCTAGAAGCTGTTGCACTTGAAGAACGACCCGAACACGAGAGCTGTAGGAAGCTTGTCAGCAYTTTTCTAAACTGTTTGTAGACGGTTATAAAAGCTAATGGATGCTCCACAAAGTACTAAATTTGGGGGCTGAATAAAACTGCAGTCGCATGTGTTAAGATTTACAATTTCATTTAAACTTCAAAGTTAGGTCAACTTTTGTTGTCAAAAGGACTTGAATATATATCAGTAAACATGTCCTGAATGAGTCTCTTCAGGGCAAAAACACAATAAAACATTACCAAAACACTGACTAGCTAGCGATTAGCCTTAGCTTAGCATGATAACGGGAGGAAATAACTATTTCGCCACAAACTGAGAACCTTACAAAAACACAGAACCAACATTGGTTAGACTAACCATGACAGGTTTTATGTGTTTATAATTTGATTTGATTTATTGATTTAACAGGAAAAGATTATTAAAAATCAAGCCTGACTCAGCATAAT